TGTTCATCTGAGGTTGTATTTACCTACTTTTGAGAACTGCTAAGACCAGATGATTTTTATTTTGTCCTGATACATAGAACCATAGAACTCAAAGAGGGTGTACTTTCTTTTTCACACAACTGTACTTACTTTTAAAAGTTCAGCCCTTAGCATATCACTTAAAGATAAGTAGAGCCCTTGACTGAAATAAGATTGCCTATTTCTGCTGTAAATAGTACTATTGAGTCATTAAATGGTGGCCCCAATTGTATTTATAATAAAGAACATGGCCTAAATCTTGAAAAAAGCTGGTGTTCCTCATGTCACATTGAAATCAGTAGGGCAAATTAGTTGCAACCGACCTATAATCCATTAATTTTACTGGGATTTTAGTGTGATTTTTTTTTTCTGGGGGGCCTGGATGTTCTAGAATCATTGAACCATCATTATGCCAAAATAATAGCAATGAGAGGCTTTATATCACCTCAACAACAACAGGGAGATCCAGATCAATACTGGAGATCCTGCCTAAATAACTATATCAATTCAGGCAATAACCACAATTTCACATAAGGCAGACAGTGGGCCCAATAAAAAGGAAACTGAAGAAACAGTTTATATTAAAACCTTTATTTCATCTAAAACTTCTCTTCCATTTTTACATTTCTGCTGCTTAAACTGTGATCCTGTAACCTTTCCTCTAGACCAGTTTTGAAAACTGAATGCCTGAGGTAAGTCCTCTTCAAATATACGGATGGATTGGCCTCTTGGCTACTTCTTTTCTCCCTTTTAGTTCCTCTTCCACTAATTGTAGCCAAATCTGTAGAACGTGTATGGCAATATATAACTGTTATTCTGATTCCCTCATGAGTTACAGAACTGGAAGTTGCTTAAAAGTCACCAAGCAATAGCCATGCTGGTTGAGTAAGTAGGAATTGTAATCTTGAGAGCACTAGTTTATGGAAGGCTGGTATCATACCAATGCTCATGGCTTGTTATAAGTCCTTTTTCTGTAGAATTGACCCACTGTGTTTTTTAAACAGATGCTGATGCACTAGGATTAACAGATCCAAAGCTCTGCTACATTCTGGATGGGATCCTTTTAATATATGCTATAATCATCACAGCCCTTTTCATGAAAGTAAAGGTAAGATTTTTTCAGAAAGGAAGAATTCTTTATTTTTTGCACACACACAGCCTGACCAGAGGAACTTAAAGGAAAAAAGGTCCCTGTGACCTTAATCCTTTTGATTGCATTTAACTATGTTCTTTTCTCTCTTTTCAACTGAAAGGAGGAAGCTGAATAGAGATAGGCATCGATGACTCTAAATTAGAACTTACTTGTTTCTGAATGTTGATATAGACCTTTAGAAGTGGAAATTAAGATAGATTCCTCAGTGAAATCAACTTTCACTGCAACAGTTCCTTAACATTTGAAATGTTCCTCATATAACTGTAATAGAAAGATTATCCTTCTGTATCTTATCTTCTCAGAGTTCAATACCAGTCAAAATATTCCCATCATTACTAGTTGTTACTCTCAGATCTTGCAGATTTACACCACTTTTCCCAATCCAGTGCTCCCCAGCTATATTGGATCACATCCTCCGGTGACCACAGTGACTGAAGTATTATGGGAGCTGAAGTGCCAAATCAATGAGGAGACATATTCAGTTGGAGAGACTGCTAGGCAGATATAATTTGTAAATAGCTTGGAAAAGATGGGATTTTTGTGTGTGTGCGTATGTGTGGAGTCCTTAGGGTTCTCTGAGCTTGGTTGTTTTCTTGCAAATGTTTCATTACCCGGCTAGGTAATATCTTCAGTGCTAGAACAGAATGGGGTTTGCTTTCTGTTTATATATTGTGGCATGCAATATATATTCCATGCCACAATAAAACAGCCTAGCTCAGAGAACCCCAAGGACTACACAGTTCAACCCTGAGCTACACATATTCGCTTCTATTGAATTTTTTTTATAATGAATCTTACATTTAAGAGTTTGAACAGTAGTTTAATGAAGCTTTTGTTCAATATGGCTACTTTTAACTATTAGCTTGTGTTTTTGGAGAGAACCAGAATTAAGACATTTTTAAAAATGAAATAAAGGCAGGTATAGCAGCCTACCCTAACTTGGTGTCTTATGTGTAGGGAATTCTGGGAAATGCAGTTCCAGCACATTTGGAGGGTATCAGGTTGGAAAGAGCTGGTATATAGTGTAGCTGAAGGCTCGGTAATATACTTTCATCATAAATCCTAGTGGCTTTAGGAATAGAAATGGGCAGTATTGTGAGTAAAAGCTCTTATATTACCTCTTTGTCCATATTTTTCCAGCTAGGTAATCACCCTGCTGAATCCAAACCTTCTCAAAATCCAAATGACATATATAATGTAAGTAGTGAATTTCTTATGTTCTTAATCTGACATCTGCAAATGAAGTAAAGTGATGGGGCAATGTACAAAGTGGAAGAATTTGGATATTAACCTGCCTGTGGAATCCAGTGAGATTTACACCCAGAATCTAGTCAGGGGGCCAAGTCTAAATGGTTCCTTTTAGTATAGGGATCCCCCACTACCCTTTTTTTTTTTAAATTATCAGATGACAAGATAACAGTGGGAGGGGGAAGGCTCTCATGCGCAGCTATAGGAGAACCGCAAGGTCATTAATTATAGCTCATTTTTAATTAAGGTAGTTATAAGTGGTCTTTCTGATGTAGGCTTTTGCTTATTTAGGACTAGACTTTCTGAAGAAAGACTATATAGATATATAATATATTTATGTGTATGTGTGTGTGTGTATAGGCTGAGAATGTGGACAGACATCATGGCACTTTGCCAGATATTTTGAACTTCACTCATATTTAATTTAATTTAATTTAATTTAATTTAATTTAATGTATAGAATGGCCAGTGGCAAGGAATTCTGAAATTTACAAACCAAAACATCTGGCAAGGAACACTTCCAACTAAGTGGCACTTGCAATTATTGCAATATTTTCACTATATTCCTGCAAATCCCACCCTCCAATAACCGATTATCCATGCTGAATAACAGCTAAGTTCTCCATTGCCAAGAAAGAAGACTGTTTAACTGCCATAAGCAAATGATGAAAGAGACTTGCATAAATATGCCTATTTGAGATTCTCACTTTGCTCTCATGCTACTGGATTCTTATGTGTAGAAAGAAGAGAACCCATATGGGTCCATCTTATTTTCTTTTTTACAATTAGAAGTACTGTCTGGGTCCTGCCGGAGGAAGAATGAACTCTGGCACCCACAAAGGGCCGCTGCTATGAAAACTCTGCATGTGGTTTGGTTTCCTTTTTAATGTTACGTGGCAGCTGCGCAAGGCTCACAGAAAATGTAGTAAAGGGCTTAAGGCATCACTTAGAGTGCTGTGCATGCTCACTTTTTCTTTTGCCCCTCCCATTCTCAAAGAGACTGGGACAGCTTAACAGCTGAGTCATGGTAACGAACATTGAATATTTGCGGAATGGATAGAATAGCTTACTGGATGAGCAGAGTTAGGAATGAAATCAACTCATGAGAAGTTCTATGTAAGTTTCCAATTTCATGTGAGTAATGGGGCAAGGTAGATAAAAAGGCACAGAGGGCCCCTAATGTATGAGAGATTTATCCCTGAGGAGGAAGTAAGGGATGCTCCGAAGATTAAAGAAAAGAGAGCCACATAATAAGCGAGTATTGCTGTTTGTGTGTGTGTACGCATAGGGAGCATAATGGCAAAGATGGGGGGGAAAGGGAAACGCTGAAAACTTTGCTCTTTTAAAATGAGTGCCCCTACAATGAAAATGCATCATGGTGGAAAACATCCTGTCTTTAAAACCCAAATGCTTACAAACTTCAAACAATAGAATTGTTGAATAAGAACATCGCATAGCATACAATAATGCTAATAAAAAAATGAAATTTGCCGTTTCACCCATGAGGGAAAAAAAAATCATAAATCCAATGACACTTAAAAAAAATTAGAATAAACCAAAATACCACAAAAGACTGCAAGCTTTTGAGTTTTCAAGTTCACTCATCAGGTTAGTACAGAAAGCAGTGAATGGGAAAAAGAATGAAGCCAAAAAATTAGACCAGGTGTAGTAGACAAAAGTTTCCATGTTATTTTTAATTTTTCTTATATAAGATCATGTACATTTATTTTGGGAATAATGATAAATAGTGGTGACATCAGGATAAATATTGAAAATCACTACTCTGTTCTTCAATTATTTCTTAAGATGATATGAGTCTAGTTTTATAAATTCAATTAAGTATTTAATGAAATAATACTTTTAAAATTTTATGACAATTGTAAATTCTGTTTATATACTGATATTTTTTCATCTGTTTTGTCCTTTTTCACTATCTTTTTTTCTTTTATTTAGTCATTTATTTTGTTCCTTAAATGTCTTAAAATAAAAATAAAAAGGTTTCCAGTTTAGATACAATCTAAGCTAGAGTCTGTGTAGTTTGGTTGGTCAGTAGTAGTGCTGTTAGTTGTTAATGTTACACCTAAAATTCTTGAAGAAAGGTGTAATGACCTAAATGATTAATTAATTAATGAGCTCAGAGTCCTGCAACTATTAAAGGCTGGCTGTGGTTAGGAGCTATATTTTGAGCCTTAGATAAAATACACAGATTCAGCTGGCTTTTTTGCCTAGTGCATCACCATAACTAATTTCTGGCTTTGTTGAAATAAAGACCATCATGTTTTGCTTCATTTTTACTCTCTGCCCAGTGAGTTACCCATCCTTAGTTTGGGGAAAACTCGTTAGCCCAAGAGGAGGTCAGACACTCTAGTTAGTAATATCTCTTTTTCCTTTCTCCTGCAGAAACTATCTTCTGGTCACAGAGATGAATATGATTCGCTGGGAGTAAAAAAATCAGATATGGACCTTGAAATGGCTGGGGAAAACCAGGTATCTTCACCATCTTTTCTGTGTGGGGCAGTTGTGCAAAACCATATAAACGTAGCTTGGTGAAGGAAGCACAAGGCTGTGACCTCCTCGCGCTTTGAGGAATGAATGCTATCACTGACTTCTCTGAAGGTTATGACATACCTGTGCAAGGCATGTTGGTACAACTGCTGTGGAGCAGCCAGACCTTTATCAGCTCTCCCACCACGCTTTCTCTTTTGTCCTCAAACCTTTGGTCTATACAAGAATGGCTGAGAGAACTTCTTTCTTTCTTTCTAGCGCAGAAGAAAGAAACCTCAGGACAAAGTTTACACTGTGAGTAGACCCAGGAATTGATTGTTACGTGTTTGCTGTACGTGTATGAGTTTTGAAAAGGAGAAGTTGTCTTCATGTGCAGTCTTTCCCAGGGTTTTATGAATGAGTTTTTGGAAAAAGGTCCTCATCTATGAAGGGATGTGCCACAACAACTTCTACACATGATGCAGAAAGGAATAGAAGTATATAAAAATTGGCCATTCTATTTGTTCAGTGCTTGCGAGTCCATTGAGGTTAAATTTTTCCACATTAGGCATGCTGTTTCCTAGATGGTTTATATACTGATGGTAATGAACTTATAGAGGATATCTTCTGGTTTTACTTAGTTCACACACTACTTTTTACAAAAGTTCATTGTACCTGCATACAACCAATTTTTGTGTAGGTGTATACCTCTTTTTCCTATGTTCTCAGCAATGCAACTACAGGGCACGCATTTTTTCATTTCTACTGCTGCAGTGCAGGAAAAAACATCTGGCATAAGACAAAACTTTTTTTTATTCTTATTTGGAGCAAATTTTACGGAATTCACTTTTTCTACCTTCTCATATTCCATTTCAGTACTGTGACTCCCTGCTTCAATTTACCTGCTATACACTTCTCAACCCCCCTGCCTCTAGCCTTGAGCTACACTGCTTATTCCTGGCATTTCTGTGCTTCGGGCCTTAACATTGTTATTATCGATGTTCAACACTCATAACTCTCTAAAGAACTCAAGTGAAGAACTTACCCACTGGCTCAGTAGGTGAATTGAATGAACATTAAAACATGTCAACAGAATGCATAAGATTCAGTTATTGTTTTTCAAAAGAACAGTCAATGTCCTGGCATTGTAATACAAGGAAATACGATCTGGCATTTAGTTGACTGTGTACAAGGGCTGCTCTTCTCTGCTGTGTCCCTCAGTAAGATTTCCAGCCTACAGCTCATTTTAGATTCAGCATAGATGGAAATGTGTGAAAGAAGGTATAAGCTCTTTCTTGTAAGAATGTCAAATGCCCTCTGTTCTCCTGGGGAAGAACTTAATGACTATAGAGGAGTACAGAGATAGCCTTGAAGAAGAAATATGGCAGCTGCTAGGAAAACATGAACTTATCCCAGAAAAACAGGAAGGGGTAAAGAAGACACTCAAGATTGCCCATCATGACTTTCTTTGATATATCAGGGAGGGAAAGAGAAAGCTGTCAGGTTTTCAAGTTTCTGTTATTACAGCTTATATCAATAAAGTAGAATTCTAGTTTTTTTTTTTTTCCCCATTTCCTGACCTGACCTACCTCAAAGGATTAACAGTGACAGTAGGAACAGCCCTGTGCTGTTAATAGTCATGTTATCCGGACTTTGGGAGATCATTATCAAAGTATTGATCAGTTTTTTTGGACATTTTGCCCTGTGTGCCAGAGGAACCTAACTACTATGTCAGAGAATCCAATTATTAAGCATGTACAGGAAACCTGGGCTTTCTCTGTTCCAAGAAATCCTGTGTTTATACAGTCAGGACCAGAAATATTGGAACAATATGGATAATATGGATAACTGTTTTGGCATTTGGCCTCTGTTCACCACCACACTGAAGGTGAAAGGAAACACACCAGATGGGACCAAAGTCAGGACTTTCAGCTGTAATTCAAGGGATTTGACAAAAGTGGGGCACTAACCATTCAGGAAGTACAGCCAGTGGCATACACACAGC